CCCAGATCATTAATTACGAAGCGACTTCAAGCACTTGCAGAAAATTCATTAAGAAGGGAACAACTCCGTACTTGTCATGACAAGAACTTGAATATTCAAAATCCAATACAAGATCAAAATATGGGTGCAAATTTTAGCGCTGATTCAGAAAACTTTGAAGAGGAGAATTTTGCACAAAATCGCAGGAGAAGTGCAAATACTAACAATGAAGAGAATGATGATTCTGCAGGTTGATGAGACTTAAAATTTATTATTATTTCTTTTTATCTTTCAATTTATTTTTTATGATTGGATTAATAATTGCTTAATTTTTACAGAATCAAATAATCATCGAGTGTAAAGTGATGATGCAATACTAAATGAATCTCGACAAGAAGGTATATTCTTTATTAATTACAAGAAGAAATATTTTTATCAATTTTATTAAACTATATCTTGTTTCTAACATATGATATGATGTATGCAGCTGATAATTCTCAAAAGAAGAAAAATCCACCTCGTGGTAGTAATAAGTGTCTAAAGTTGAATAATTTGTCACATGAGGAGAAAAAATCATTACTTTTTATCAGAATAGAACTATTGAACCAGAATTTTCACAATATCTTGGAATTATTATTCGTGATAGAAATATTTGCCTAGTAGCTATTGAGAATTGGGCCAAAATACCACAACAAAATAAAGATCATATGTGGGCATCCATTAAGGTACATTAAAAATTAATTTTTTGTAATTGGTTTTTAATTCTTATAAATTAAATTTTGATTCAAATTTGATATAATATAGGATAAATTTGATGCTGAGGACATGGAGCAAAAGAGAGAGTCAGTAATGAAACACTTGCGCGATTTGTGGAATAAGTGGCGTGGTGACATGCACAGGAAATATGTGAAAGAAAATTCATTGCAAGTTACACTTAGAAATAAACCTACAGAAGTGAGTGTTGATGGCTGGGATTGGCTAGTTAAGGAACATTATTTTTCTTCAAAATTTTAGGTATTAATCTCCTAATTTTATTAATTTTGTTCCATGTATATTGTTGGATTGTTAAATTTATCTTTTAATCTTAATGTATAGAAAGCAAGCCAACAAAATACACTTAACAGAGGTAAAAGAAAGATGCTCCACCACACGGACAGCAAACCCTTTAGACAAATTGCGTGGGAATTTGTATACATTCAAAACTAATTTCCTATTTATTTATAACTACTTTGTTTTTTAGTTTGATGTTGTACTCATTTTTATTTAATATTTGAATAAGGGTGGCAAGTCAGGAAATCCACCTGATGTGGCAAAAACATTTCATGAAACTCGAAAGAAAGCTAATGAAACACTAGATACTGGGGATCAAGATAAATATGTAAGTAGAATATGTGTTTAAGTTTGATAATGATGCATTATATAGTACTAACATATGAACTTAATTTTTATAGGATGAAATTGTTCAAGTCAAACAAGCAAACCATTCACTTTCTGACATTGAGATAGTTGAGAAAATATGGGGGAAGCAATCTCATGGTCACATCACTGTATTTGGTAACGAGACTACTTTGAAAGATTTGAGAGGACCGCTCCCTAGTCGATCTGATCTGGAAGCACGTGTTATAGAAGAAAAGAGAAAGAATCAGATGCTTCAATAACGCTTAGATGAGCGGGAGCAACAACAACAAAGGATGTCTGAGTTGGAGTCACAAGTGAAAGCTATGCAAGAACTTTTTTTAGGCAATCACCTTCATTGACTCCTCAAACTCGAGAACGTGTGCAGGACTAGGTAATTATTTTTTATAAAATCTCTTATATACTTTTATGATTGACTACTTGCACTAAAAATATGATTTTTACTTAATAAGATAATATTTGCTTAATTGATATTTCTTAATTATGTGATTTTTTTTAAATTTTTCAGGCTATCCATGCAAGATTAGGAGGGGTAGCTCGAGTCTTCTTTTGATGATGATTAGAGATGAAAGAATGTGTCTTCCCCAAACTTTTATTTTAATTTGTTTTAGATAGTTTAATGTATTTTTCTTTGTAACAATTAGGATATTAACTCTTATTATTAGTATTGAATATTTGAGGATGGTGGAATTTTATTTTTTGATGTTATTAATGAATGGAAATTTTATTTTACCTCTTATTCATTATTGGGTATTTTTAATATATTTTTGTTGTGAATCTTAGTGTTAGGTTGAGAATAATATGATAGTTGCCTATGAATGAAAAATTTATTATCAATGTATATTAGAAATTTATAGTCTATAATGACGGTTTTATAAACCGTATTTTGTTCATCAACGAAGGGAAAGCACCGTCGTTGATGTGTTACTAATTACCCATTATGAGGACTTTTACGACGGTATCCAACCGTCATTAATTAGTCTTCAACGATGGAAAAATATCCCCGTAACTAATGGTAACGATGGGAAAATATCCACGTAACTAATGATAACGACGGGAAAATATCCTGTCACTGATGGTAATGATGGGAAAATATCCCCGTTACTGATGGTAACGACGGTGATAATTACTGTCATAAATATTAATGACGATAATATGTTCCGTCGTTATAGACTCTATGACGACGGGTAGTATATCACTTTGTGACCCTTTAGCGAAGAGGGCTTCAACGACTGGTGACGAAGAGATTTTTCTCCGTCATTAGCATACAATAACGAAGGTTTTCAGCTCTTTAACGAAGGGAAATCACTTCGTTAAAGATGTAATTTCTTGTAGTGTTCCTTGGTTGGTTTTTAGTTTGATCGTTCACTTTTATTTTTATATTATTTCCGCTGTAAATTTTGTATTCTAGTGAAAATCTGTAGCAAACATATTCACCTCACTCTAGGCTTGCATGTCAGTTCCAACAAAATTGAATTATCAAGAATTCGACCAAATCATTTTTCTCTCTAGGACAAGTATCGGACAGTTATGGCCCCACGTATATCAACAGAGTTGTCACTTGAAATTATTAAAATTTGAGATATAAAGATCAAGAATGCAATAAAGATGTTTCCCATCATAGCGGTCTTCATGCCATGAGGTTAATCTCTATTGATGGCCAACTCAACACACTTGTTCAAATTCTTTAAGAACATAACAGCACTAATTATAAGCTTAACATTGAGAAGTTTGAAGATTTGAGACTCAATCCTCACTCATCAATCATATCATGGTACATAAATGGCTTGTAAAGAATGAAAGAGAATGATATTGCCAGTGGCTTCCAACTTTCGTAGGATTTAAATATATTCCAACCTTAGCTGGGCGTCTTTACTTTACTTGCTCCCTAATCCTTTCTGATTTGAGCAGAAGTGAAACGAAAGAAGAAGCTGAAGTCAGCAAGCTAGGGAATTAACTTTACAGGAAAGACATCTTTTATCACGAGTATTTTTACTGCAAGATGGAAATAACTTGTGAGTCTGATGTCATTTCCACCAACCTCCCTTGACGGTGAATTTTCTATACGACTAAAGTTCGCTAAAACTCTCAAACTCAGGGTACCCATTATGTCCATTCTCCCTGAATGAAAATCTATAACATCAGATTATCCAAAAAAAATTGTTGAATGCGATTTATGTCCTAGGGATTATAACCAAATCAAAAATCAAGATATGCTTCATTAAGCTAAATTATGTATGAACTTTGAAGTGGACTCAATATCCTATCCTATGAAGACTAAAATTTACAATCCACTCTTCATGGACAAACAAAAGTCAGCACGTACGTCCCTCCGAAGCAGCAAATCGGTTGACAATCGCGAGACGGTAAAAAATATCACTGCTAGTAGCTCAACCAATGCCCAGTATGACTAAAGCAAATCCTCAAAATGTTTGGTCTCTTATCATCTTATGTTAATTAATGTATAACTTTATTCAACACCTACAACGATTTTCCGCAACAATCTAATGGAGTTCGATCCTCTGCAAACCAATTTAGGATGAGCGCCACAGAAGTTCTCTAAGCTTTGCTTCTAAGAGCAAAATGTCATGATATAAGCCAGTGACCACTTCACCCCAGAAAAAAAATAGGTTAGCATAATAGAAATAATCCATTTATATCGCCCTAACAACGTTGGATATTGTTCGAAGCTACAAAATCAGACAAGATGCATTGATCAAGGGCATGTCATGAAACATTTTAAAATCTTTATGACAGTGAAGTCCAAATTCCAAAACTATAGTCTCATGCTTGTAACAGGGGGAAAACAATCACTACTACAAAAGCTCATCATAGCATTGGATCAAATAGTTGCTAACAGGTTGTAGGCCTATTAGCAACGGTTTAGACCGTTTCTAAGACATTAGCAATAGTTAAAACCTTTGTAAATAGTCTGTTACTATTAAGAACATTGCAATTAGCTTATTGCAATGATCTACACCCTTTGCAAATAATATAACAACCTTTGCTATTAGATTATTTTTTTATAAAAAATAAAAAATCCACGTCAGCAAATCCCAACCGTTAATCAAAATAGAAATTACCGCTTGCCTAATAATTGGTTCCCCCGGTTTTATTTTACACCCAGAAATTTAGGTACCCACCTTTATTTTAATAGAAATATCTAATTTTGTTTTTCAATTTAATTGAGATATAATGGGCAACTGTCTCAAAGAGAAAGTAAGAGGTCAGGTTTCATAATAACCGTATCAATAAGGCCCAATAGCAACAGTTTAATTAATTAGCTGTTATTATAAGGGGCTTTTGTAGTAGTGAGCACAATATGTCTGCTTCAAAATCATAACGGCATGTGTTCCAGGATATGAAAGTGCAGATATTAATAAGAAAGGAACATCACTAACTACTGTAAAGTATTTTACAGGAGAGAGTACCGTCAAGTATGGACTGAAAACGTTTCTTGAAACATTAAGTACTATGGTTATCGGTCTTAGGTTCGACATGCTTTAATGTGATTAGCACTTCAATTTCTAAGATAACAATACAACAAAAATAATGATAAGTACTACATTGTGCTCATCAATTAGTGTGTAGGGGCCAGAGCTTCATTACCAATAAGAACATCATGCTTCATTACCAGGTTATCTAGTTAAGGTTATTTTCACAACTTAGATCGATGAGAATGAGACTTCTTAGCAAAATAGACTACTAATTATACAGCCACAAGTACTGAATACAAAATAAGATCTTACAACACTAAGAAATGTTCTCAAGTGGCAGATCACAGAATTTCAAGTACAAAAAGAGGCATTGGCAGAATGGAGCTTGATTTAAGGAGGAGACCCGTGCCTGGGATGAGCTGGAGGTGTTGCCCTTGGCACATACGGCATGAGAGGAGTTCCGTGCTCGATAGGGCCAGAGCTTATAGCCGCTTTTGAGTTCGGAGATGGATCAGAACGGGGATAGTCCTCCTTGTTAATACTGCCCACATCCCTGCAGGCATCATAGCTCCTTTCCTGCAAAAGAACCCATATCAAAATGCACTCTTTTGAGATTGACAGAAATGTTCTTAAGGATACCAAGATTTGTGTCCTTGACATAACAAATGGGAATTGATTGTTGTCACATAAGCTATTTTTTGTTCACTTGTGTATCTGAACAAGTGAAACTATTTTTTTAGATGGTTCTACTCTTGTTTTCCCTTGTTGTTACTATGACTATCAATAGCATAAGTATTTGCTTTAGAATAAATTTAGGATACCCAAGTAAACTAGTAGACAAAAACAGTGGTCTAGAATGAATATGTTACTGATATCAATGATCAAATTTAATCAATAAAAGATTTCCTTCATTAAATAAGAATTATGTTATAAGATAATTTTGTACGCAAGCAACTCCAGTGAAAATGCATACCTTTAGTTTCCTGTTGTTGATCACTGCAGCAGCTCCTCTACAGTCTGCTGTGATCACAACTTTCATGGTTAGTAAAGGCCGAGTCTGAATAAACAACGCAATCAAAATAAAAGACAGAAAATTATTTTAATTCTTAAAATAATAAAAATGGAAAAGATAAGTAAAGCAGTTTCAAGCATCAGGTGGCTCCACAGACTACGGCTTCTCATTCCTGTAACCCTTAAAGAATAAGTCTCTGTAAATTATATTGATGAATAACTAGCACAAAAATAATCGGGAGCCACGTAGCTATTCCTTTGTTTATAGGGGCTAATACGCCATTATAAAAAGGAATTACATTCTCATGTAATAAGCAACAAGATCTTCCCTAGCCATTTGAACTAGTGGAGAGGGAAAATCTCGCATAGATACAACACTTACATTCACATTTTGCCCATCATTGGCAGTAAAGTCCGCACATCGACTACCTTCCCTCCATATATGGGTAACTTTAGACCATTCCAAAGACATAGCCATTCCGTATTACCATTGGTTCACAGCAAGGATCAGTGTGAGACTAACCTTTCTCTTAAAGTCCCTGTTATTTACACCAAAACTCCAAAGTTGTGTGAAAGATGAGGGCTATTGTTTTGTATCTTAACATATCTCTGCAGGTTGAAGGTCCTTTTTATGGGCTGAAACCTAAACTGACATAGCAAGATTAACTTTTGAAAATCAGCGTTAAATTCGTGACCAGTGAGATTCGAACCTGGGTTGCCGTGATATCAATATACCATCTTAAAGTCCCACACCAAAACTTTGAGGTTATGGTGAGGGTTATTGTATTATATTCTAAAACATTCCAATGAGAGTTAAGTCTTCTTACAAGTTGAACCAAAAGGTTTATGCTAAAGGTCCTATAAGATCATAGTTGCCTTAAGCTTTTATGGCCTCTGGCATGACTTTGACTTGTGACTTGTGCTCCATGATTGAAGCATAGGGAAAGCTCTACCTATCACTTGACTTAAACATAATGTGGAAAAATATTAGCTAAATGTTTTAAGGGCTATTAAAATGTCCCTAGAAAGTCCTACCATCTATATAGCATATGATAACTCATCATTAAAAATTTAGCATTTTTTGGAGCCCAGATTGCCTTCTAAGTACAAGAAACAAACTTGATATACTATCTCATGTAACTTGAAATGCAAATAGCTTTACTTCGCTGTAAAACCAAAAGTTAAAGATCAATGGTACTAACTTTCCTTCTGATACGATAAACGTATTATACTGAGAAGAAAACTCCCCCTTGATGAAACCCCCCTTAACGCATTAGTGTAAATCATTTGCCCTTTGATAACTAGAACAATTTTATATCTGATCTACAAGTATCAATCATGACTGCTATAATTGATCCTGCTCTCCCTCCCTCCTTCAAAGCATAGGAGCCCTCGTCACTTGTTTCTCTCCAAGGAACTTGTGCTTATAATGTTGTTTAAACCATATGATACAAGATCGACTAGGAAGTATCTTACACCACAGCCAAGTAACTCACACTGGAAAGCCTAGATTTAACTAAGCAAAATATATTCCAAACACATCTGGATGATAGGAGTAAGTAAACATCAAGGCATGAAAAGTAATGCATTTCACCCAAAGTACCAAGATGAAAGCTTTAAGCTCTTTTGAAGGAAAACAAAAGCAGGTATACATCCTAAAGCTGAAAGCCAGAATATATACATGATGCAGAGGCAATTGCTGCCTTTTGAGATAAATCGGATCGCGCGAAGCTCAGACGATCCAAGAAAAGAGGGTGATCCAATCCAACGCCTATGCTCGGTCGATACCGGGAAAGTGCTTCAAGTGTAGTGAATCGGGCCATCGAACCAATGATTGTCGCGTGGCCGTATTAACATGATGGATCATGATGACGATCGAGTCAATGAGGATGTCTTTGGCGAGGAGGTGACTTATACCATAGTGGATGGGGATGTTGATGATAATGATGATTACCCTTCCCATTCTTTAGTGATTAGAAAGATAATGTTAGCCCCAAGAACTAAAGAGGACCCACAATGACACAACATATTTCATACTCGATCCACTATCTGGTTGAAGATTTCCAACGTGACCATTGATAGCGGCAATTGCGAGAACTTTGTTTCAGGAGATGTTGTGAAGCGCCTACATTTACCCACCGAGAAGCACCTACATCCTCCCACCGAGAAGCACCTACATACTTACAAGATCGGTTGGATTAAGTTAGTGGGAAATGTTAATGTTAATGAACAATGTCGAATTCCTTTCTCCATCGGCAAATAAAAAGACATCATTTCGTGCAATGTAGTTGCTATAATTGCCTATCATTTCCTACTAGGGAGACCGTGTCAATTTGGTCTCGATGTCATTCATAGGGGCAAAGAGAACACTTATACTTTTTGAAAAGATGGTATTCCAGTTGTAGTCGCACCTTACACAGTGAACTAGTTCTAGTGGTGGTGACATCGAAAAGTATATATTTTCTTGTTATTCAGGGTGCAGACTTTCAGGTTGTAGTGGAGGAAACTAAGACGGTATTTGCAGTAGTGTTCAACGTCTTCACGGATTCAGTTCCTCCTCTTATACAACCGTTACTTGAAGAGTTCATCGACATATTCCCAAAAGGGTTATCCGATGACTTGCCCCCTGAGCGCTTTAGTGTCGCATTTACCATGTTCCTGGTGCTAGTTTATCAAACCTCCCACACTACCACATGAATCCAAATGAGAGTGCTATATTATAGGAGGTCTTCGAGTTGTTGAAGAAAGGGCTAATTTAAGAAAGTTTGAGTCCGTGTGCGGCCCCAACATTAATCACCCCGAAGAAGGAGAGGAGTTGGCGAATGTGTGTTAATAGCCGGACAATCAACAAGATCACTAATAAATATAGATTTTCAATCCCTTAGCTCAATGATATGCTAGATATGCTCTAAGGATCACTGTCCTTTTCAAAGATAACTTGAGTGGCTACTGTTAAATTCGAATCAGGCCCAAAGATGAATGAAGGACAACATTGAAGATAAAAGAGTCTTTATGAGTGTCTTGTCATGTCATTTGGGCTATCTAATGGCCTAAGCACTTTTATGTGTTTGATGATACAGATCTTTCGTCCGTTCATCGACAAATAACGATATTCTTATCTATAGCAAGATATTGGAGGACCATGTCGATGACTTGTGGGATGTTTTAGCTGTCCTTCGTGAGAATTAGTTGTTCATCAATCGCCAGAAGTGCATTTTTCTGCCAGATCGACTTTTATTTGAGTTTCATAGTTGGTGCTAAGGGCATTCATGCTGACAAGAAGAAGATTCGTGCAATTCACGAGTGCCCTTCCCGGAAGACCATCATAGAGATCTGAAACTTTCATGGGTTGGCGATATTTAATCAACGTTTCATTCATCACTTCAGCATCATCATGACATCGATCACATAGGGCATGAAGGGAGGAAAATTAAATTGGGTCGAGGAGGCTGATCAAGTTTTCGTTGTTATCAAAGAGAAGTTGTCCAATGCTTTAGTCCTTGACTTACTTGATGTTGATAAAGTCTTCGAGGTGAAGTTTGATGCATTAGTGTTGTCCTATCGTAGGAGTGTCTTCCGGCAGTTTTCTACAATGAGAAGCTAAGTGAGTCCAGGAGGAAGTGGACATCATACTAGCTCTAGTTTTATACCATTGCCCGATCTGTTTGTTGCTGGCAGCGGTACCTTCCGTAGTGAATTCGTGTTTTCTACCGATTACGAGGCACTCAAATTCTTATACAACCAAAAAATCTTGAATTGTATGCATGAGCTTTGAGTTGCTTTTTGCAACAGTTTATGTTTTTTATGAAGCATAACTCAAGAAAGCTGAACAAAGTTGTTGATGATCTTAGCAGCTGTACCTCCTTATTAGTAACTATGAATAATTTTATTATTGGATTTGATTGTGTTGGCCTTCTTGTTTTGATGATGTTTAACAAACAATTTATTACTAATGTTGTTTGTCTAGTGTTTGTGCATTCCTATGTTTTGTAGACAAACAACGTTGTTGGAGGATGGATGGATTGCGCCATAACGACGATATCAAATGGAGGTTGGCGGATTAGTGGAGTGAAGCAATGCACATTTAAGTCAAGATCCAAGTTCAAGCTTCATCCGCAAGATTACCAAGATAGAGCTTCGTTGAAGATCAAGATCATTGCTTGGGTAATTTAGTTTTAGATTTTATATTATGTGTGTTATATACTCTAAGCTCAATATCTATACACACACATTTATTGATTTCTTTGTATATATATATAGTTATATACATATACAAAAGTTTTGGTTTCTATATATATATATATATATAGTTTTATATATATACATATACGTCTTTTGTTTTATAGTTTTCGAGTTTATATATGAAACAAATGCATAGAATTGGAAAATACTATTTTGTTTCATGCTTATATGTATATATATGATTTCATCTTTAACAAGCTTATATTTAATGAAATCATATTTAGTGTTTTGAATATATTGCATAGAATATGCAAATTTAGATTATAGACTTCATAACAACATGTTATATCTTTTATCAAGTCTATACAATCATTTCATAAGGTTTCAAAATGTTGTTTAAGTCAAAATATCAAAATATCAATTTTCAGGTTTTCATGTTTTGGACTATTTTGCAAAAAGATGATATTTCTCATTTGGGAAGTCTTTTTAGAAAACCAGTTTTTGTAGCATGTGTATTATCATGTCTCGGTCGACCGAAAGTTTTCATCGGTCGACCGCACCGGTCGACCGACGATTGTCCAGAGCTGGTTTTCGTGCTTTTGCGCTCCATCGGTCGACCGACTGAATTTTCGGTCGACCGACAATATGACCGTTGGACTTCTAACGGCTATTTCTGAGCTGTTTCTCTGGGGGCTATTTTGTCATTTGTTTTGGGGTTTTTGCTAAGATTTCTAGTGGGTATATATACCCCATTGCTGATGTCTTTTCAAGTTGATTAAGAGAGTTTTAAAACAAGTTTAAGAAAGTTTTAATCAAGGGTTTAAGTT